TTTGACTTGAGTTCTTCTTGGGTAGTGCTTCAAGCTGGGTCATTGTTGTATTTCAGTGTTTCTAAACATGGGGTCTTGAAATTGTGTTGGCAACTGTGTCCTCTGTGGCAAACAGACCCCATCAAGGCTTCATCTTGACTAAATTCTCTTCCTCCTGGATGTCTTCTCATATGATGCAGTTATCAAAAGAACTGTATGGTAATGAGACTCAAAAATTATTTAGGAGAATCTTCATTCTTTTGAAAAAAATGTATTCATTTAGGAGCCTTCAGTGTGCAGGAGGCATGGCCACCGACCCTGATGCCAGATACGTTTTCTCTGCAATGCTTAAAATCTTCTCCAGACCTCCTACACATCTTGTTATTACTACATTTAAGATCTCCTTTCACTGCTTTGCACAGAACTGTCTGATGGATACGTGACACCTTTGTTACAATTGCAAGGAGAAAAGATGGGCTAAGTGTCCAAGAGCTGGAGAAAATAGGAAAAAGGGGTTTGTATTACTGATGTTCTGGATGACACCTAGATGCCAAGGGTGGATCACTGTGTCTGGAACAGTATTTCTATCTTGCCTTGGGAATGTTCCAAGGTTACAATGAATTCATTGATGTACTTGTAACCTTTCTTTGTTATTATGGAGAGAGAGGTGTGTTTTTTCTTCTGAGCGATGTCCAAAAAGCTTCCCTGCTAAAGGGAAGGAAGTCTTTGGGTGAACAAACCTTCATTCAAAAGAGATTGGTCTCCACTAGGAAGGAGCTATTTGCGGGGCAGTCTGACAGGACTGGACTCCAACAAAACCATGAACAGAGCTAACATGTGCAGGTCTGAACACCCACTCTCCCTCCTGTGAAGCAGGTGAGTCACTAGGGTCATTGAGAATAGGTTATAGGCAAATTGCCCTCATTCTTTTCTGGGAGCATCTTGAAGGAGAGGCCCTTCTGCCTTTGCTCCTTGCACTCCTCCTTTCAAGGCCCTCACTTAGCCACGCATTTTCCATCCCCAAATTACCTCACCTACAGTCGTCTTGCTCCCCCTCTGAGCAGGAGGTCTTCCTTTCATCTCCATCCAGGGGGCTCTGGGTGGGCAGCTGTGGCTGCTCATGAGCTCCTCATGAGCTCAGGAAAGGGCTGTAAGCTGGCTTGTGCCTGTGAGGAGGCTGGAGCTGGCCATGGGGCCTGGCTGAGCCCTCTTCTAATTGCTGACATTGAGCTGATGTTATTCTTGGCCTGGTGCAGAGCCATTACTCAGGAGTTTCTGTTAAAGTGATTCTTTGTTAAACCTCCTCTCACCCCCACAACATCCCCCTCCTTTCTCTCCCTCCCTTCTCCTTCTGAGCCAAGCAGTTTGGAGTTGCAGTATTGACGCCATTGCCATGCCACAGGACTCAGGCTGCACTGAAGTTGCCACTGATGAAGAAAGGTGTATTTGCTGAACATGGGGGCCTTCAGACTTTCTGTAGTGCAAACCATATCTTAATAAAATTACTCTCTTGGACGCTTTCTCTCCCACTAGACATTGTATGGAGCCAGCCAGACCTCCCCTTCCAGTCACAGTTCTGCTGATCCTCTGGTGCCCTTCCCAGTCACTGCACTACCCTCATCTTCATCTGTCTATCCCGTGTTCCCTCTCTAGTTTCCTGTCACTGACCTCTTCCTTCTGCTAGTTAGCTTCTCAGACTTCAGTCCTCTGCCTTGGCCTTTCCAAGTACTGCCTTCTCTTTTATGCTGCTTACACAGTCCCTGCCCTACATCTACTTCCTGCTCACACTGCTTTGACTTCCATCCCACCTTTTCCTGCTGGCCATCATTTGTCCTGTCTTTTTCCCCACAGTTGATGTAGCTTATCCAGCCTGCATGGTTTTATCACATTTCCTAGACAGTGTCACCTAAGCCACCTATCTCCCATTGTCTGCTCTTCCCTTTCTGTTCCTTCCCACATACTGAGATCTACACCATCCTTTGTTGTCTTGCCTGCTACACTCAAGTTTCTCTGCCTCCTCTCAACAGAAGAAATAGATCATAAAAACCGGAAGGTCTAAGACCTTCAGGTTTTTATAGAGTGTCATGATCTCTCTACTCTGGGGAATGCATGCAGGATATCTCCAAGCCTGTTTCATCTGGTTGTTCAAGTTGTTCTTATGATTGGAAGGCAGGTTAGCCATTTGTCAGTAGCTGAAAGGCATTTATTAATATATCTCAAGGCACACCCTGAGTATGGCATGACCATACAACATGACTAGATGCTAGTCTTACCTTCTCTCTGTGACAAATGGACTAGTCATATGTATATGGATAGCATGTGAACAAGTAACAAGCACCATGATCAATAACACAGGGAAATGCTTCTGTCTCTATATTAACCAGTTCAATATGTCAGAGATGAAATGGATGCGTTGGAAAGCATAGAAGTTCCTAGTCAAGTACTTCCGTAATAGGAATTCCCCCATCTGCCATACAGTGGATGTATCTTATCATGAAGGCTTATTGCATACTTCTTTGTGGCAGCACCCAGTCTTGGTTGAGCACTTTCCAGATGCTTAAGAATGATGATTTCTCTCCCAGGCATTTAACAATTTGCAACATAGCAAATACTGTGTAGGTGGAGGAAGAGGAATAATAACCAACAATTTTCACTCATTGTACGTGGAAGTTAGTTCACACAGTGTAGTATGGTGGAAATAAAGCTTTGATGCCAGAACAGGTACTTCATTCCCTGCAAAACCACCAAACTGACTGGATAAGAATCTAACGAACAAATGGAGGCAGTGATAGGGCCCGGGAACAGAGACAATACAGAACCTGAGAAAAGAGAAAAAAATAGAAAGGGGCAGAGTTTGAAAGTGGAGACGAGAAGCTTAAATCTGATATCAACAAAATCAAGGAACAAGAATTACAAAATCAAACCAAAAGACAAGAAAAACAGGCTTATAGCAGTATTTTTAATGTTTAAAGACTTCATGTGACACGTTATGACCTAGATGTTAGTATCACTGCTGCAGTTGGCAAGGCAGTTAATATACCATCATTGTTTATTCTCTAATTGTTTCCTGTACTGGAAAGATGCCATTAGCTATTAGAGAGGTTCTTCCTTCTCTGTGCAGCTATGTTCTGTCTGCTTAGCCTAGCATCTATTGGGTTTAGGATTTTATGCCAAACATTTCACATGGGAAACAAGCTAAATTAAAACAGGATAAGTACGGTCGTATAGTGGAATGATCCCCATCAGTCCTGCTTATATCAAAGAAGCTCATGTTAAACAAGACATAAGTCATGTTGATGAGTTGTGTGGTCAGTTATGATCACATTTTCAATCAGAATTTTAAGTAGATTTTCTGCTATAAAACATAATCTTAAATAATTTTCTTCTCAATCATTTAAAAATGGTATGTTGTCTGATATATTCCTCATTTTATGAAGTTCAGCAATTTTTTTTCCTTTAATGTATGTGACTCTCTTCTGAATTCCCTACGGTTTATGTAGATCTGACTGAGAATGTTGAGAATTCAGAATAATATTCCTAGTATTCCTAGAACTATATTATTCCTGCCTGAGGACACAGTGCCTCTTTGAATGCAGCCTTAAACATCATTAAACTGTTTTCTAAACTATTATATATTGGATTGCTGTCAGATTTGCCGTCTCTCTCCCCCTTCAACAGTTTCTTGTTCATTCTTGTTTTGCAGTTTTCTCCCTCAGATTGTTTTCCCACTAAATGTGCTAACTGCCATTTTTCCTATTTGAGTCGTGTGATACTGATGAGTCAAAGTCTCGGTCTAAGTAAAGCAGAACAACTGTTCTGAAAGCAGTAGTCTCTGCTGATTTATACCAGCTGAAATTTTGTCCCCATGTTTCTGATCCTGTCACTATTATTAGAATTATGGTAACGCCCAGATGTATTAAGTATCTTTCCAATACAATGCTATGGCCCAGAGAGCTCCCAGTACCAAGAGAGAGGCAAAGGAGAAGGCACCAAGTCAACTTTTTTTAGTATATTTTAGTTCTGAAGAATTTACCAAGGAAGACATGCTTGAGGACAGCCTGGGCATACCATGAATTTACTCCTCCTCTTTAAATTTCTTGATGACCCCAAGATGCTCCTCTTACTACAGTTTATCACTATGGCAGTTAATAGTACATTTTGAGCCTGTTTTTTATTGCCACTTTGTGAATTTTCAACTGAACTCATTGTTGCATCCGAACTGATTTAACTGAATGCATTAATATCTCAGTTTCCAGCGCTAGTGATTTGGAACTAGCTACGCAGATCTTTATGCAATACACGTGTGTGTGTGTGTGTATGTGTCTGTCAGTTCTCATACACGGCTGAGTCTATCATCGTTTTCAAACTTGTTGGTCCAATTTAAACTGAATGACTATGGGATAGAAATCTCAAAGCTATATTCCATATAAATTTCATGAAAATAGCAAGCTATATATCTGGAAATGGGGATTCAACTGCTGTTGCCATTAAGGCAAAGGCTCTAGCATGAGGCTGCTCCTAATTAGACAGTAGAAAATCAACATAAGAATGCCCCAAACCCACAAAAAGAGGCATAATTTGGGGCATGCTTTATATTAGATACTGTAAGATTCAGCCCCAAGACAGATTCACAGGAAATGAGCTTCATTACCTCCTCTGGTCACAGAATGAACATGTTTTTGCTTGCAACATTTGTTCCGTTACTGTGCTAGGGATGGGTGTTAGATACAGGGATGGTAAGTGCCAGGAACATTCTTTCTGTTTTTGAAGATTGTTAATATATATCTGCTTTTCTTCAAAGTACTACAGTACCTCCCTGCTTTTAATCATGAGCAGCCCTAGCTCAGCTGCTACTGGCTAAGACTCTTAGATGTGCATCGTCCTTACTGACAAGCTGTACATGTTGAGATTTTCTAATTAAAACCTACTATTTTTGTACAGGTAACACTTTGTGTATGGTGTTCATGTGTAGATGTGGAACCAAGGAGAGGTGTGATCTAATGATGCAAATACAGGATTGGGAGTCAGGATTGTCTCTGAGCTCTCAACCTAGCTTTTCATATTGCTTCAGTCTGTGGCTTAGGGAGAATCACTCTCTCTGTCATTGCTAACATTCTTCATGTGCAAGACAGGGTTAACGCTGTCCTATGTCCCCAGAGAATTTCGCAAGAGAATTAACTCAGTAATGCTTTACATGAGTTTTAGCTAAAAAGTCTCATTGTGTTCTAAGTATTTTTCAGATTTGTAGCCCTAAGAACTTGTCAGGGAAGCAAATGTCTCTTCAACATCAAGTTAAATCTGCCAGCCTGGGACATGTGGTTCAAAGTTTTTTTACTTGCAGCAGCAATAGTTGTAGGATGCTACCTGCTTCAGGACTGCCTCTGTAAGGGTTTGTCAAGGCTTCTGCTCTCCATAGATCCTGAGCCTTCAGAATCCTGAGTGATGAAGTCTCTCCTAGTTTTTGGATGTGCTGAAATCTCTTCCCAACCCTTCCTTTGTGTGGTCAGGCCCTGCTCTCCCCAGCTGCCCTCTTTATTTGCACAGTAGCTTCTCCTGGTTTCCTGTCCTGTCCCCATGGGTTCACAGCAGGGCGGTATGCTTTGTAGCTGAATCCAGAAGCCATGGCCCATGTCAGCTTCCAGTCTCCCCGTCCTTGCCTGGAAGGCAGCCAGAATCTCAGCACAGCGTGGAGACAAAGGCCTTTTTGGAAGTCCGTTACCCCCAAGAAAAACATCCATGACCCTTCTTTAGGCAGGTCTCAGCCCAGCTTTTGCTGATCGGACTTTGTTAGAGCATCCATGCTTGCTGTTTTTTCAGAGTCATGGACCTCCTTGCCAATGCATGTTAACACAGGGAAGGGTTTAAGTATGCTTTATGGACTCCAGGATCTTAGTGATTTTAATAACAAGAAAAAGAACCTACAGGAAATATGCATAATATCAAACAGAGTACAATGAAATGTCACCCCTGAATAAGAAGGGGGTGTAGTCTCCATCCCAACCCCATGATGTGTCAGACTCTAAGACGCAAGAGACTAAACCGAGTTCCATTTTAGTTTGTTTTGCTGGGGGGAGGTGGGGTGTGACTGCTATTTTCCAGACTTCTGCACTTGTACCAGCTACTTACTCAAAATCTGAAAGCTGCTATCAAGGTAGAGCTTCAGGGAAGGGAGAGGTTAAGAAGGATTGAGAGCTCAAGGGCATCTTGTCAGTGAGCTCTAGTTAGGAAACAGGCCTGTTTTGGCTCCTGCACTTCCTTTTCTCCCTAGAGCTCTGCCTGTCAGAAACGCCTTCCCACACACCACTGCCCTGCCATTTGCCAGAGAATTGCGGGGGAGAGGGGCTTTTCCTGTCTGTGTGCTGAGAGCCAGCCCTCAGACTGTGGTTTTCTCTGGAGCCTGGAGCCCACTCACTGTGGCTTTGAGTGTTTTTCACCAGAGAAGAAACTGAGGACGAACCCAGTGAAGGGCACTGCTCCCAGGGTCACGCTGAGGTGACTGGCGAGTGCTCAGCTATTCCCCTCATCTCCTATCACTGACCTCTAGCTGCCAAACTACACGTTATGGTATTGCCTCTACCCTGGGAATGTGACTGACTTCGAGGAAAGACAAGGCAGAACTCCCAGCAGGTTGTTCCTTTCTGAAAAGAGTTGAGTAGTTTGCAGAGCTCCCATAGGGAACAGTTCCCCACTCCCTGCTTTGCCAGTCCACTGTTCAGTTCTCCAGTGTCTCATAATATGCAGATCCTTTTGTTCCCCGTGACAAATCTCCAACATACTCTCCCACCTGCTATAAGAATAGAAATATGTTCTGTTCCCTGGTATTACTGGGGATTTCCTTTTTTGTCAGCTGCTGACCTCAAGTCCCTTTTTTCAGAGAAGGTACCCTAGAGCCTTTTTGTTATTCCAGACACCTCCAGGCTTAGACCAAAGAACTGGCATTGCAACATCTTCTATAACCTTTTTCTTTCCTAGAACTGTGTCTCAATCCCACCTCCTACACAAAGAATAATAAGCAAGATAAATGCAGAAAGTCAGTCAAATCAGTAAAAGCTTTACTACTTTGTGGATGGGAGCCCACTGCAAGATTAGATTGAGGATAGGATCTCTTGTTTTTTAATCGAAAATAGTATCATTCTGTGGTAGTAATGAGCTTGTCTGCCTTCCTAGAAGGTAGTCCCAGCTTCTAAGGGTATAAAATTCAGCTCTAAAAACTGCTTCACTGACTTGACCACTTAACTCTTCTTTTTATGCGTGGGACTGTCCCTGGAGCCCTGGGGTTGTCTTCATCGGGCAGATGATATCCCTCACAAAAATGTCACCCACCTCCATTAGCGCTCTCAGCAATACTCAGAGAGGTAATTGCCAGTTACTATGGTATCTTTTTTTATTTTTTTTTCCTACCAGGCTCTCTTTGCCAACTACTCACAATCCAGCACTAGCCATGTATCTACGCCAGCTGGCTCTGATGCCCGCAAGACATCAAGTGCCACTTCTAGTATCCAGAAGGCAGCCAGTTTGCACAAAGTGATGCCATCCCAGAGTACGCCTTCTCAGCTGGTTCCAAAGCCTCCAGCAAACCACAGGCAGGCAGTGGTCAGAAAGGCTGCAGCCCAGAGGATTTCCAAGTAAGTTTTATCTCTTCCCATCCACAACAGGGAGTTGCTACTGGTTCCCCTGAGAAGGAATATTGGAGAAGAACCTGTCTACATGCGAGTCTGACATAGATTTTTTTTTTTTTTTTTTTTGGCTATGCTGTTCAAGATAAATCTCAGAATAACCTGAGCTGTGTAGTGAAATAGGTGTGCGCTAGGTTACAGTTTCATGTTTCACAATAGTAAGGTAGGTAAGACTGTAACATCATACAAACATGAGGGCATAGGAACAGCTGCCAGATTGAATCAGAAAAGTATCTGATCTGGGGTGGGATTCAGTTACCTAAACAGAGGTTGCTAGTGACATTTCAGATGCCCAGGGCTATTCCATCTGACCTCCAACTGCTGCTCCACATGAACACAAGTCTTCTGTAGGTCTTGTGTTGTATCTGCCAGTCCCATGCAGATGTCTTAAATAACTTGAGAATACCAAGTATGGTACTAGACATCTATGTTCAGTCACTTGCGTCACTCCCTCAGTGTTTAATCTTTGATGGGGGCTAGAATCTGGTGGATCAGAAAAGGCTGCCAAACACACCTCCATCCCCCCAAAATACCCATTATCTTTAACAAGTTAATCTGCCCTTAAGCAAAGTTTCCCCATAAATTTAACACATGACTGACTTTTGCCTTCAAGCACAAGTGTTTATTTCATTTAAAGTGTTTATATTGTGCCTAATGTAATGATAGCTTTCCCATTATCTGTAGAAATCCTTCTTTTAACTTTTACTGAGCTTCTAGTTATATAGTGCTTGCTATTCTAAGGTAGATGGATTTGGTGTGTGTTATTTTTAAAAACAAACAAAAAAATTCACCATTAAATGTTGCTTACTGATTGTAAGTTTCCTTCATTTCCATTTCTTGGTATGTCTTCTCTCTTGTGCATTATAAGAGAATGTGAGCAAGACTTCTGGGTTTTCTTCTTATCCTTCACCTTTTTGGGTAGCTTCCTTAGTTCTCTGTTTATCTCCTCTTAAATGACAGACTGCTTTAGACTCCTTCATCAGGTTTTTCCTCATATATCCTCAGACTTGTTTCATCTCTGAATACTGAAGGGCAAAAATTTCATTCATAACTTCCTCCCTTATACGTACTCTACAGCCAGAAGAGTTGTAAAGCTTTCAGAGCAGTTTCCTGTGAGGTTTCCTTATTCTGTGTTCCCTTCCTGCTTAAATAGAGATGTTTTAGTAACAGATTACTGATGAAAGACACCTGATGAAGATGCTAGGGCGCTGTCAGTGTGTGCGGATCATATCTGGAACTGCAAGGCATATTTAAGGAGCTTGGACAGAACTGCTTTGGGGAAGCTTGTGTATTTCCTTCCTGTATTCACGCTATCTTAAGAGATAGCACGCTGAATTAATTCCCCAAAACTATTTAAAAAGAAAACAAGATGTTAGACTGTCAACTCAGCAAATGCACATGTGAGCATCAGGTCTGGCAGGTATATGCTGGTGGGTTTGCCATCTGATTTCTTTTATGTTGGGTAGCTTATGTTAGTACAGGTGACAGGCTATGTCAGTGGGTTTCTCTGCTGGGCTGTAGGGATGTGTATTTGAAGATGCCGGTGTGCTGTGCTCACTTCTTGGCAAAGGAAATGTTTATTCTTGTGAGATGGAATTGCAGCTCCTTGGACAGACTTTACTTTGCTGCATTTTTGTGGTTTCTGCTCTGTGACAGGCAGGAGTGTGGGAAAACCGGAAAAAGTTCAGCACCAAAAATGCACAGAAGGGGGGAAAAAAGCAAAAGATTCCTTCAGAATTTCAGAAAACTAATCCAAGTATTGAAGGCTGCAAGGAGCCACTCTGGAAATACTTTCCAAGTTGCCTTTCAGTCTCCAGCACGAGGCTCCAAACCCATTCTTGCCATTCATGGGATCCTGCAGTAACATTTTTTCACTTACATGGAAAACAGCAGTGCCCAGCTATATTTCCAGCATACTGAGAGCTGATCATTTAAAAACTGCTATGTCTCTGTCTAATTTAATCCATTCATTGTCAGGAAAAGATGAGAAATGCATTGACAGAGGAGAGTGACTGGAGAGAAGCCTCTGCGTCAAAAGATTGTAGATTAGAGAAGAAAAAGATGGCTTGCATGCTCCATCCTGTTCTTTACAGTCCCTGGTTATTCTGTACAAAGTATTCTCGGACACTGTGTGTAGTCTACTTTAAAAACACTCCAGTGGCAGAAAGCCCACCATGTGCTATAGAAGACTATTTAAGAATCTAGACAACCTTATTATCAGAAAGCTTCTCCTGATGTGCAATCTGAATTTTTCCGTTGTTTCATCCTGTTGTACCTTGTTCCTCCTTCCTGAACCACCCTCAACACGTTCCCTTGCAAATACTTTCCATCTTTTGAATATTCTACTTCTTGGAGTTTCCTCATGTTGCTTAGACTTGTTGAGGTTTTGTTAACCTCAGATAGTAGTTCCACCTGCCAAGTCCTTAATTGCCTTGAATTTACTATATTTTCTTCAGTTTGTCAGAGTGTTTGCATTGCGGCACCCAGAATTGTGCTCTTCCAGTGTGGGGCTACCATATCCTTAGGTTATGACATGGCAAATATCACTCTCCTTAACATCTAATCTAATTTTGGCTTTTTGGCTGCCTCATTTCTCTGTCAGGTCACTTTTTATTTGCTGCCCACTCTCACCCCTAATACTTCCTGGCTGTTTTCCTGATCTTTCCTCAAAGAAGATCTCAGTGCTATATATTATTTCCACAAGACTCACTGAAACTAATCCCATTCTGTGCAAAAGCTCTCGTGTCTTCCCTCCCCCCCCCATATATTTCAGTAATCCAGACCTTATTTCTCTGTCTGCTCTTGCACCACCTAGTTTTGTTTAACATCTTAATAAAGATCATCTTTTTAAAGTTGTTTGTAGAATTTCTCCAGCGACTGGACTATGAAGACAAACTAAAATCAACTTTGTCTCTTTGACCTATCTCTTCTTTGCATGCGTTATCAATTCTCTCCCAGCCAGCACACGTGGCTTCCAGAAGAGGAAGAAAAGAAGTAGAAAACTCAACTACAAACAGAATGAGATGCTAAAGATGAACATTACTGACTAATTCAAAAACTATCTAGTAACTTGGACACTTCCCTGGCTAAAACATAAAGGAAAAAAGTAATGGAACAGCTAGACAATTCAGTCTTGTCTTTTCAGTTCCTGGCCCCTCTTGTTTTCTCAGTCTCTCAACTTGTAAAAGGTGGTAGGTTGACTTTGTAATGGATTGTGTCCAAAGCAGACTCCTTGCTTAAGCTAACAGAGTGGAAAACCGGGGCCCACATTAAGGTGTGGAAAAAGAGTAACTGGGAGAAACAGTTTAATATGTAGTTCTATGCTGAAATGTAGCCCCATAAAATGGTCTCATGGGGCTCCATAGTTTTGATTAAACATGCTCACATCACAAGTAGAAAGATAGTTTTTGAATAGCTAACACAACAAACTCTTCTTTCTCTCCAAAAGTCAAACAGGGTCCTTTCCACTGCTCATGTTGCCACTGCTGTTGGCAGGTCTGTGAACCATGAAGAGACCTGCTGAGAGCAAAATTTTGAGACAGAGATCACAGATATAGTATTCATAAGCTGTGGAATGAAGCAGATGTCCCCGGAAAGCAGCATTTGGTGTATCAAATATTCACATTACAGATGACAGCATGCAAAGTAGAAAAATACATTAGCTCAACTGTTAGAACCCAGAGTGAACTGGTACAGGTGCTAGGCAGAAAATCTTTCTGCTTTTAGGAATGACAAGTCACAACAAACATGTATTTCTACGCTATCATTCCTATAGTAATTTTTCAGAAACTTGCTCACTAATTATGCAGCAAGTAGAGCAAGGCCTTGAACAGAACTATCACTCAAAGAAAAGATCTCAGAAAAATTCAGCTGTCACTGTTAGACCAGTGAATATAAAGAGAGGAAATGCCAGGCAGCGAAAAGGAGCATATAGTTCAAGATGTTATCAGGGAGAGAGAGAGCCCAAGAAGATCACCGAGTTTACCAGCAATAGACTGGAACATCACAAACTATTGGGGAGGTTGATCAACATGATGTAATTTCTTGTACTGAACTTCTCTGTAAATGTCATTGCCAACAACTCTGTTCAGGAAGCCTGTTAAAATGTATATTCCCTTCAAGTCCCAACATCGCAGCACAAAGTCTTTCTACCTTGTTGTTCTTCTGTATATTTGCTTTGTGTGGTGCCAGCAGCAGAAAAGCCAAAGTTCTGCTTTATTGTAACTAGTACAGAAATGGGGCAGAGGTGATGCATTTCTCCAGGGTTCAGGAAACCCATCCCACGGCAGGGTGGAGTCCTGACTGCAATTGGATACAGCAGTTGCCAGCTGTTCTAGGACAGGCTGGCCAAGCCTGGCAAATGTGCCAAAAGTAGAATGATGGCCACAGAGCGAGCCCTGTAAAACACTGTGGTTCTGGTTCACAACCTGTCTTGCCCATGTATGCTTATTCATAGGCACACGTGAAGTGTCTTAAGTGAGCCAGGTACATCATGCATACAAACTGAGTGCTCGCTGAAAAGAGGACAGGCAGCCGGAGAGCAAGCACGTAACTGTTAGTGGAATCACTTTCACTTTTTTGCTACTGCTGTACTGCGGCACGCTTGTTTTTTTAGCTCCTGAGCATCTGGGTTAATCAGGCTGCCTGACCGTTAGACGTTTTTGGCAGCAAAAGCAGTGCATCTGAGAGGCATGCCTTCATTTAACACCCTGACACAGCTGGGCTCACTAGGCCTGTAGCTCTTAGCCCTTGGCTAGCCTCAGATCATACACACAGATACACATGCGGAAAGATCCTGTCCAAGAGCAACAAAGAGGAACAAGCCTCCCTGGCTCTGGGTCTTCACTTCCCTGTTGCTGTCCTCTTGTCAAACCTGGGCTTTTTGTGATATGAATTTATTAGTGTTAGTTCTGTCCTCCCTGGACCGTTAGATGCATTCATAGCATCCCTGGAATAGGTTGTTAAAACAAAAGTGTTCAAAATTTAGTCAAGAAAGTATTTTTTGTCACCTGTGGAACAAGAGCATTATCCAAATTTGCAGTCCAAGGCTGGGCAGCTTAGGGCTGGTTTAATGCTTAAATGAAGGAAGTCAGTATCAGTTTCAGGGAGGGGTTAGCTGCATAAGAGATAGAAAAGGGCAATGACAGATATTTAAGTGGAGGGGACAGTGGTTTTGTTAGTATTGAAGAAGAAGAAATAGAGAACATAACAATGGATTGCACTGGAAAAGTGGAAGGAAAACCAACACAGGCATTAAAAGCAGGAAACTGAGAAAGGCAGTAGGGTTTTGGCAAACCCAACGAAGAAGAAAATGGAAAGGGATTAACTTAGTTTAAATATGATCTGGCACTGGAGCTTCCATCAGTACAGCAGAGAGAACTTGAGGGGTGAGCTTAGTGTGGTGGGAGATCTATGACCCATAAGCAGATCTGAGAATGAGTTGTGTGGAGGCAATGGTTGAAACTGCAAGAATCAAGGTACAGTGTAGGTAGGCAGAAAAGAAGAAGGGCAAGTCTGTAAAGAGAAAGAAATGCTCTAAATGTAAACCACGCTTTAAGGTAGAAGTGTGACTGTCCCCTGTTTTGGGGGGTTTTGTTTGCCTTTTTTTTTGTTTGTTGTTTGTGTTGGTGTTGTACTTGCTGGCAGTCTTGATGACATTTTCAACCACTAGTCTTGCATTCTACCTACAGAAGGGTGAGCTGAATTTGGCTGTCAGTTGTGCTGCATTAACAAAGTGGACAAGCTAATCATGAGCATGGAATCTCTATGTAAGAAGCATAAAGATCCATCTGGATTCTCAGCTCCCAGAAGGACCATGCAGTATCAGCAGCAAAAGAAACCATAAGTACAGATCCAAAATTCTCTCCAAGAGACAATAAACATAGAAACAGGCACCTCATTTGACAACAGCATTTCAAATTATGGCTGACTGAAGTAAGGGGTTGTGTTTTGCAAATGTCATATCTGCATTCCTCTCCCTTCCTGTACGAACTCCAATTTATTTCAATAAAATCCAAGTGAGATAAAATACAGGAGTCCCTCACTGGCCTTCTAGCTGCCAGAAGCACCTGGATTATTGGCAACTTGCTGACTTTGAAATCTGAAAGCAAAGGGTTTCAGACAAAACTAAACTGCATACATACTGCATACATGTGCCTGGGTCTGTTAGTCATCAGGGCATCACATGGGGATTGGAGATTACAGTGCTTTTCTGGGGAAGAGCTCACAGTAACTGTGTAACACTGCAGAGCAGAAGGAGTGAAGGAGAAGGACTCTGGCAGAGAGACAGGAGTGTACATGCAGAAGTTTGGAGTGATCAGAATAGAGTTGGGCAGGAAGGAAGGAAGGCAAGGAGGGATAAGGAGAAGACAACAAACCAGGAATAGATGAATCAATTGTATAGATTCTAAGGACAAAGTAGATCATTGCAGCTGTCTAGCTTGACCTTGCCTTGTGAGTAGACCCATTTTTCATGTAGGAGGGCATGGTCTCGGTTTGGTAATGAATCTTTTAACGGTTGGAGGAAGTGCAGTTGTAGTCCACAGAATATAATTTTGCTGTAACTTAAATGCTGAAATAAATGCAGGAGGATTTGTATAAAGTATCTGCTTGAGAATTGGCACTGGACTACTAGAGGTTGAATGCATCCTGTGGGTCTCAGTTTCCAAGACAAGTGATAAATCTTGCCTAAATGAGCTGTGTCTGCTGAGGCAAAATGCAAGGACTTAACTTTTGAATGTAGCGTGTTTTTGCCAGCATGTGCATTTCTGTTCTAAGGTTGCTTAATAATTTTACTTCAAATCACTATAATGAAGTGACTGCAGCATAACTAGTTGAGTTGTGCTTTGGTGGTCCAATGCCATTTACTATCTCCTTTATCCTCCAGAATCAGCTTCCAAGGCACGTGGGACAATTAAGTGGTTTAGACACATCAAGGTCTTGCTAGTGGCTTGAGTGTTCATCTGTTGTGCTCTGCCTTTTTGGAGTCGTTTGCCGTCACTGCCTTTTTCATACCATGTTCAGGCACAACTTCGTAGCTATGGTCCCAGTGAGATTATGTAAACTAGGAGAATTCTCGGGTTTTTGTTTGAGACTTATTTTTCCTTGGTATGTCCCTTCTTATCTCTGTCTAATTTGATGCTTTTACCTGTTAGGGTGACCTCCACTGAAAGGCAACTGAATGGATTCCAGAACAGCCTTCACAGTGCTGCATCCTGTGAGCCAGGGACAAATTCCACAGGTGAGTGCCAGTGCTGAAGACCAGGAAAGTGGGGGTGGGCATGCTGAGATGTTTTCCTCTTTCTCAAGAACTGGCAAGGAAAAAACTTTCTCAGCAAGAAGAAGAAGAAACACAGCTGCCTACCCTGCATGTAGTGGTTCCTAGGTAACAGTCTGGGTTCAGCTGTGCAGGGTCTTTATTCCTCCTGGGATTAAAAAGACTAAACAGAAGGGAGTGAAGGCTGAGTTTCATAGAGTTGGAGGAGGAAGATCCCTAAAATGTGGCTGGGAAGAAAGACTTGGCTAAAATGGCCCCTCTTTGCTTTAGGCTTTGGCTCAAAGATGCTCTGTTGTTTAAGCTTGGCCTGTAATAAAGGGCCAGAACATTCTTTACATTTTTCTTCGGTCTTGCAGAAAAGCCCCTTAGTTCAGAAAGACATAGTTGAGACTTGTGGATCAGCTGCCTAGTGAAGTCTATCAGTAGAGGTGAAAGTTCCCAAAGGAGGATCACTGAGACTTACAGAATCAAATTTTCATCATTCATTAGTGGCTAATTAATTCAAACAGGTTTATCTTCTGTTAAGGTCTCTGTAAATGAGGACCCAATCCATTTTTCGTTGATGCTGACCTATTAGCAGGTAGAGTGTAGTCTTGATGAGCCCGTATTACACATGGCCCACAGTAATTTGTGATGATGCTGTAATGGAATATATGGAAAAATTAGGGTCTAGAATGCTTTAAAAAATTATGTTTCTGACCTTTTGTTTTGCTGTGAAAACCCTGAAAACATGAGTATCACTAATGCAGGGATCTCTGTGTTTTCACAGGCTGAAAGAAAAGTTTGCGTAGGGGTGAACTACCCAACTCATCTCTTGAATATTTAGCTCCGAAACTTAAAGATGACATTTCCATTATTAACATCAGTGATTTTATTGCTGATCCTCTAGCACAAACATTCAGCTAATGCACTTATCATACAGTCCCAAACTGCCTGCCACACTTACCACCTGCCAAAATCTCCAGTTATCCTACCAGAAATTTTATAGGGTGAATAGCCATAGTTAATAAAAAAGACCCTACAGCACATTGGAACGTGACAGTGTAGGAATGGAATATAATGAGATTATCAAAATAAATAAAATTATGTCACCACTGTAGTATATGTATAGTTGAGGCAAAAGTTCTGTTCTACTGTGTAGTTCGAGTTTTTAGTACAGTATATAAAGCAAGGTTACACATAAATTTACAAGTAAATGTAAAAATGGAGTTCTCAATATATTGACCAAACTGGTTTGCTGAGTAGACTTACATGAAGGTGTTTGTGTGCTGAATTCTGCCACCTTTTTCACAGTTTTAAGAGCGCTCTCACAGTTGCCACCCTCTAATTTTAACCTCTGCAAGAGTTTCTCTCTGTCTCCTCTGGATACTGTTGTTGTTACGTGTGTCTGTGATAACTCTAGGTAGCATTTTTCTATCCTTCTCTGTTTCTCTGAATATTTATGCAGAGCACGTGTGAGGATTGTTGATAAAATTAATGATGGAAGGCAACAGCCAGAGCTGCAGGAAGAATAAAGGCTGGATAACTACAGAGTTTGGGGTAGTCACTCTCTCTGGGAATACTTGTAATCCAGTGAGAACTGAGAACTTCAGCTCATGTTTCCTTCTGTAGGACCAGGCTAGCTGCACTGTGCTAAACTTATCCTCTATGAAGCTGAAACAAAGGGTTTAGCCTGCTGTTTAGCTAAGAGTGTGAGGGCTTAGACAGAACTCTAGTTTGGCTAGGGGGAGGCTAGCAGAACTGTGGTGCGTGGGTCACTCAAAGCTTCCTTGTTGCTAGAAGAGGTATGTAACTCCAAGAACAGTGCTAAATATTGTGGTGCTTGAACTAACTAGAGCAAAATGTTTGTTCTTGGAAACTGGGGAATGATATTTTCTTCAGCTTTACACCAAGCCACTGGTATGCGTCAGAGGCTGCTGTGCCCAGTCTGTGTGTCTCAAACTACTCTGGTCCTTCCTGCAGGAACAGCTGTTTTTCTTCTTCACTGTCTCCATTGATTGCTTACAGTAGGGCCCTGATTCCCCTCATCAGCAGCTTATTTGGGGTACTGTTTCAAATGCATTTAGTAACCTAGATACCAGCTAAAGGGGTTGGAGACACAACAGATTACAGAATAAATTGCAGGCGTTTAAAGATTGAAGGCTGTGAAAAGTTGCAAAGATAAAAGAGGAACCAGGCAGAACCTCTGTATAAACACACACACAAATGGTCAAAAATGTCTGAGAAGCTTCAATAGGCCTTCTCCTCTAACAGTCTATCTGAGGATAGCTATGGGGCTCTGCAGAGAAGAAGCATAAAGGTGTCACAAGTGATCTAACCAAAAGTAAAGATGATGCTCAAAGGAAGAGAGGATCAGGCAGCATGGAAACTTTTAACCAGATTGTCCAGAAAACAGTTCACTGGTGGTTAGTACTGCAACAATAGAAGAATACCTGTAGTAGATACTGTTGTGCAGTTGGCTCAAGCTCTTGAGGACAGTTTCCTTGAGATGAAATAAAAGGGAGAATAAAAGCATTTCTGCAAAGCAGCTCAGGAATCTGAAACAAGCCACCACTACAACGAAAGTGTGGCAGCCTCATCCTCATTTCATGGAGAGGCAGAAGTTGTGCGTGAGCTGTGTGCCACTGGCACAACGAGAGAGAAGGCAGAGGTTCCTCATGCGTAACTACGGAGAGGAAGCTAAATCTGTAAGCTGTCATTTGGGACTTATTTGTAGTATCTGAACAGACAGTTTCTTATCAAATTTCCTGAAAGTTTAACAGGATTTATTCTGTTAAAGAAATACAAAGAATACTAGGAACATTCAAAATGCTTCTGACTTGACTTTTCACTGAAATTGAACACCCAGCCGCTAGTGGGTTGTCAGTCATTCTGAAAATACAGCCATTATCACATTGCTTTTTTATTCTGTGTTACTTTGAGGGTCCCTCAGCATTACACTGATTGTTTCCTGCTTCATGGAATTTAGCAATTCAATTAGTATTAGTGAAATCGAGTGATTGTGAACTAATAAATCAATTCTCTTTTCCAAGTTGTCGACAGAATATAGCTTTTAAGAGCTAAGAGCTAAGTAGTATGGTGGGTTATTCAGTTGTGGGTTTTCTTTATGAGGCTGTGTTTGATATGGTGAGTTCAGATGATGAAGGCAGGAACCTACAGGCTGGTCTTTTTTTTTTTTTTACTGTATATATTAACAATGTAAGGTGTATGGAGATGTTTTGCCATATTTTGCTGTTTTATTTTCTGTTCCTCTCTAGTGGCATTAGGTGAATAGTGCATGAGTTCTTTTTCTCAAGAAAGTAAAGTTCTAGGTAAAAAAGGTGTCATATTTCTGACGGGAATTTAGCTTTTGAACAACTGGAAAGAAACATCAAGGAAGTTCTGTAGCTACGTGGAATACCTCATAGTTAGAAATTTATTATATTTATTATTCTTTTTAAAAACGCTAACACACAAAGCAGGTTTTAGGGAGAATAGAGTATAAAGGACACTTCATGAAAATGTAACAGTATAGTCCTAGGCAGCTTCTCTGTTCCTGGGCTGGACTCTTGTCTTCAAGAGCCTGGAAACAGGAACAATCTGAAAGTATAACCTCTCGGTACAGTTGTGGAGTGAATGCACAAGGTGATGACCCGAGCTGATTTGGTTTGGTTTGATTTGTAAAGGTAACAGCAACTGAGTGAAATCTGTCTTCTGTCTTTGTGCTTCTCTCTTTCGTTGGCTGTCAATTTCTTGAGACTTTATGAAAGTTTTATTTTAAAAGCTTCAGAAAACAAAATGGCTCTGGGGTTCCATTTTGCTATTGCAAAAGTACGGTGCGCTAATAGCCTATAAAATTACAAACAAATAGGAATCATGATTAAGGCTGGGCAAGACTGATGTCTGGCTCCAGACTTGACAGGACTTTCACCTTTTCATACTTGGACTGATTAACAGTGATGCAGTTTTATTGTGCTAATGTTTATATTACTAATGTCCACATGGCTTTTCCACTGGGTATACTGGGAGGGGAAAAAAAAAAAAGCATTAGAGTTATTGATTAGGGGAGGTAAAAGTAATATCCTATCTGAGTTTGACAGCAGTGAAGACTGCTAATTCATGCAAAGTCTCAGATCTCCACCTAGTCTGGTTTAAAGCATGAGTCCAAAAGGAATTTATTTGTATTCTAGTTCTCTTGAGAATACTTCATGCAGAAAGTGAATGTCAAAACTCAATCTGAAGGTAGGGAGGAAACTTCTTGATTTTATTCCCTGTGATTCTCAGGTCTGTATCTGAGTTTAGTTGCAGGATGATGTACAGTTGTCTGTTTACTTTGGACATTCACCTGGCCCCCGTATCTGCATGAATGCCAAGTCCTGAAGGTATGCAACTCTTTGAAATAAAGTGTATCATCACCTGAAACGTCTTAAAACTGGATTCTGAACTACCAAGAGACTAGTTGAAGCTGGTTTGGATCTAATCCATGTAGAAGGCAGGCTGCTGTTCTTAGTTTTCTAGTGATTTCCTTCTTTAGGCTAAGGTGCAGAGCAGTGTCTGAACACCATCCAAATGAGATCAATGTGTGAGCAGTGTGGTCCAGTATGGAGCAATGAATGGAGCCTGCTTGCAAACTAGTGATAGTAAGGGGCATTTCTGCACTTATTCTTCTCTGCATCTAGCATGCTTCAGATTTTTTTCATTTTACAGGAAATCTACAGGTAGAGTGTGTATTTCTAAAGTTTTTTATATCCAAGATTATTGTATAGTCCTTCTTAAGAAGGTCATGTGTGTCTTGTTATTGGAAACCTGAAATTAGAGTTAACATTGGAGGTGCTAAGCTGTGACTGGCTGTTGTCTACCCACTGTTTGAATTAACATTATTCCTGAAATGCAGCCTCTTTTATATAAGCTTAAGGAAAGACAAGAAGAGATTCTTCTAGCAGGTATGCAAAAATACAAGCTTCAAAATTGTCCTGCACCAGGAAAAGAAAAAAAAAAAAAAGGCAAATAAACACAACAGGCATTTAAACAAGACACAATCACTTTGTATTGTTTGCCAGATCTAAACAAAGAAAATGCCTGGGATTTGGAGATTCTTTTATCAGCCAGTATCTCTCAACTCTGTTGGAGTGTAAGGGATGGGATGGGACGGGATGGGATATGTACTGTTGCCACTGTGCATGGCCTGTGTCAGACTCCCAGCCATTTGCTACAGTAGGGTGGAATTCCCAGCTGCCCAGCCTTGTCCAGGTTTCCTCAGCTTCTGCCAGGCTTCCCTGCAGCCTCGGAAGGCAATAGATTGTTGAACACCAATGTTATTTTTATGTTGTTACCACATTCCCAAGAGGAACCTTGGCTATGATTTCAGTTGGTCTCACCACACTGTCCAAATCCTTCATCAGGAGCAGCTGGGAAAAGAAATCACTCGGGTTTCTGCACAGCACATTGCTGGTACGCCTCCTCTCTCGCACTAATCCTGTTAATTCCAGTCTTCATTTGCCATCCTCCTGGTTCTCTCTTGTTGCTGTGACTGACTGCACAAGTGGTCTTGACTTTGAAAGGTGACCTTCAAATGTGCACCTCGAGTAACCTCTACCTCAGACTACTTTGGCTACTCAGGGACAAGATATGACAAAAAAGAACAATTTTTGATGTCACCTCATTACTTATCCTAGTCCAGGAATTGAGTAATGATGAGCTCTTCCACATAAATCCTTCCAGAACCACCTGTCTGGATGAGAAGCTCAGGGGGTGGGTCACTGAAAGGGAACAGCAGTGTGATATCCAGCACCTTGCATCAAACTTTTCCAGTGCAGCCTCTCACCCTGCCTACAGCCTTTGCCAACAGCAGTAATAACATTGTCATCATCTCTCACTGTAATGCCATCTCTGTGGCAGAGAAAGGGTTATTGAGAAACGGAATCAGTCCATTTTATCATATTTTGGAAAGCAGTAGAGCTTGAGGTGAATCCTGCTATTGTGCCTCCCTTTTTGGGAGGGCAAAGAATCAGTTACAATGGAGGATATTTGGTTTCACATTTGTTCTTAGAATTATCTTCCTAAAGCCATTGTTCTCTCACGCATCACAAAGACATCCTGAATCTTCTCTCCCTCTCCCTGCTGACTTCCACAGTCTCATAAAGAGGGCAAACAGGAAGAGGGAAAAGATAATTTCTCTCCCTGCTATAGTTGTTGCATCTGTCCCAGGTCAGATAATGACAGACAAGCCTGTAGTACCAGGTGGACCAGAAGGGAAAGGAGAAGGGTAAGGAAAAGACATTCTCCTTACCCCGTTTCTTGGTACTCTTTGAAGGGGCAGGGAACTATTACCTTATCACTAGCAATGAGCAAATATTGATGGCTCTAACCAATACCTTTAAAATAGATACAAATTATCAACAAGGCATGACTATGTTAGAGTTTATGCAGTTATCATAAATCTTAAGTGTGTAAGTCTTATTAAAGCCCGGAAGAGTGTAAAGCTCTGCCAAAAGCAGCATTCCAGGCCCTTCTCAGATGATGTTAGGAAGATAATGTCCAACTCAGCCATCACCTCTCAGCTAGAGCTGAGGGTCAGTGTTCACTTCTAATGATCAGAAATTATATTTATTCCTTAACTTGTGAGAGCACCCTGCCTTTTGCCTTTCTTTTATGACAGGAAGAAGCTTCTTCCTGTTGCTACTGGTCTCATGCCACTGAAGGGACATTCCAAGTTTCAGGACCACTGGGAAAGCAGGAGAAAAAGGAAAGGACAGTCTCCAGAAATTGGCTTCCCTGTTTAAGAACTAGAACCCAGCTTGAATTTTAGGAGCCTTCACTTCTGACAGACTCAAAGAAGACTCCAAAGCAGGATAAGTAATGACTTCAGGCAGTTGGCATTTTTGCCTGACTGGAGGCTGAGCGTTCCTTGTTCTCAGTAGTTAGGTGATGGCGAATGGCCTGTATTTCCTTGCTGTGTTGGAAATGTCATTCAAGATCAGGTGTGCAAAGACTGGGGAGAGGTTATGTAATATCTTGGCTACTTCTGCTTCACATCTGGCCCTTTGGCATTAAGATACCTATGGAGAGGATGACTTTGCCCATCCAAATTGGATTTTGTTTTAATCTGGCATTATTTTATTGAGACTAAAAATAGAAGCCAAAATGTGTGTGAATAGGCTAAAAGGAGTGTCTGAAGTTACGAAATGAAATGCGAGGAGGAGACAGAGAAGAGACAGCCACAACAAACCAGGGAGTAGGGAGCTGAATAAGAGAAATCAGAATGAAGGCTGTCAAGTACAGAAGGGCGTTAGCAGTCGGGGTGAGGAGCCCACCCAGTGTCTTCTCTGTAACCTGGGGAGCAGGAACGCGCATGCTGGCTTCCACTACTATTTCTCCACTTTTTAATGAGGTTGCTCACTGCTCTTTTCATGCAGGGAGGTTTCACTCAAATACAGTTGTATGTACTGTTTGTGACACGCCCCCCCCCCCCCCCCTCCAGCCCAAGTAAATTTTCTTGACTTGGAACTGCTGCTTTCCCTTGCCTGCCCGGTCCAGCAAGCCAACTTGAAATTGTGCCCAAAAGATGGGGGAGGGAAGGCTGGCATTCTGTTGTCAGCTGTCGTGGCTTGCTAGTGTCAGTCACCCATGGATATAAATAAACCCCATCTATTTATTGCTTTTCTTAGTTGCACTATATATTATGAAGAGAATGCTGGGCATCACTCTAGGATTAGAAATTCCCTCTACTGTGGGATAAAAAAATCTGAATTTTTAGGATTATCAGAGATTTTCAGGGAGGAAGGAAGTTCCTGTTTTCGACCCTAGATTCAGGAAGCTTCAGCATGCTTCTCAGTTCTGCCACAGACTTGCTGTGGGTATGATGAAACGGCCCAAACTAGCTCTAAAAAATGTTAGCATGGGTCCCTGACCCTGTACTGTCATCTAGCCTAGTGCTCTGCTCTGTCTCATTCCTGCAGCTTGGAAGCAGAGTAGATTAGGTGCTGGTGTCTGACCAAAGCTGTGTACATCTATGCTGGGAAAGTCTATATGGCACTGAATTTTAGTGTGCAGGTATCCCACAAATGACTTCACGCAACTCCTGTGATTTCCTTAGGACTCAGAATCATACCCATAAAAGGGAAGTAATCTTTTTCTTTCCCCTGTGTAACTGTTTTAAGTACAAAAGTGTTAAAGTTTCTGAGGTGCAGTCATGAGTGACACAATAGTATGTAAATATATGGACAGACATCCAGGCAGATACTTCTAACACCTCCTGGCACGCAGAGAATAAAGGAGATTCGTTCATGTGTGTGGTGATTTACTGTAATGACTCTTACCACTAGGGAGAATCAACCTTTAATGTTGGCTGCTGTCAGGAATGATTTTTTTTTTCTGTCCCCCTTACTAAACCAGGAGGAGGTGGAATGCTCACCAGTAGCTTTGAAAGGATAAAACGTCATAGAATTCTGTATCTTAATAATTATGAAATGATTGAATTGGCCATGAGCTGCACACATGGTAGGAACCTACATATTTACTTGTAGACATAGGAATGCCCCTCTCTGTGTTGAGTCCTCAAGGTAGTCATACAAGAGGAACTCACACAAAATGTGAGTTTGTGAGAAAAGAGAAACTGTACTGTGCATTGGTGTAGGAAAAAGTAGGCTTAAAAGTCACTTCAAAACAGGAAGATGAGGTTGAAGTTGGCTGCCTCTCTCCTGTGCCTTTGTTTCCTTAATTTCAGCATATTGCAAGGGATAAGTTTCTGGACTGGTATCCTATCTCAATACATATAGTTGACAGTTTGGTTCCTAATTCAGGTTCCAAACTTCCTGTGCAGTGACATAGCTGGCAATCCTGCTTTCTAAGCATCTTTCCAGATCCTCTGTGCTGTGTGATGTTTGGCTCTATGCTGGGCTTTCAAGGAGAGCATATTTTAAAAAATATAGCGATATTTTTAATAAACAGCTCTCAACAACTGTCACTCACATTTAGGAGCAAACTGATATGCTAAATACACAGGACAAGCTTTACCTACTAGATTAGCTATAAAATGTAAACTATCCAAAATAAACTTGGTACATTTCTGAGTGCGTTGGATTTTTCTTTTTAAAGGACTAAGGATTTTTAAGTAAAAGAAGTGAAGGTGGCATTGACTTTTTCCCATAACATGTCTAAGTAGGAAAATGTTGCCGTATGTAGAATTAAAATCTATCTCTATAATAATGGGAAGAATTTTTTTTTTCCTTAGCCCCATTTTGTTTCTTTTAAAGATCAACCTTCTCACACCCCTGCACCAAGGTCCTCAGCATCTTTCAGAGTGGGGAAGTAGACTCCCATGCAAGTGAAAGAGTAAAGACACAAAGAAAGAGACAAAGCATACTGATATGGGAGAATGAATTAGAGCTACTGGAGGAGTATGTGAAGAGATGAGTCAGATGAGTCAGAGGAAGAGTGAAGAGGGTATTCTGGGGCTTGAGAGGAATACCAACAGTACTTTTTCACACAGTAGCTTATTAAGTTAGTTTTTGTCATACTGATCTGTGATCTCATCTGTTACTGCAGAGAGAAGTTGTGTGATAGGGAGATCCAGATTTCTGGTGAAGGCTGAGATTTGCAGAGCAGTGCAGCAGTTTTTCCCACAAAACAGTTCCCTGTGATTACTGAAAATCTTTGCTTTGTGTTTTTTCCAGCCTCTGCTCACCGAGAAGGACTAACACTGAACACCAGGTGAGGAATTCGGGGTGTTGCTTCAAGTATGGGGCAAAGGAAAAAGCAGCACTGACTTCATACCACCACACTCCCATAACACCCAGGAAAGTGCGAAGAGGAGGCTCTGGTGAGAGGACAACCCACCAAGGAGAGTACCTGAACATCTGTGGAAGCTGGTGATATACCTGCAAGCTGAGGTGAATGATTGCCTCTGAGACCTGCTGCTGCTGAGTCTGGGGGTGCCTTCCTCCACCCTCTTCCTGATCGCTAACTGTGAGATCTTTCTATAAGACAGAGGTCCTCTAGCTGTCTGTATTGTTCTTCCTAAGGTACAAGTTTGAACATAAAGTCTCATTTGCTCAACCATTTCAGTCTGTCCTAGTCTGGTAACAGCCAAGACTCTCTGCTGTCATCACATGGCAACCATCAGTAGAGAAAAATATTAGAACATATGAGTGGAGACATCTGTGTTGGTTGCCATCTTGAATTTTGGCACAGAGCCATAGAGATGATTGGTTTGAATAAAGTAATTTCATTTGTTTGTTTTGGTTATAATTATTAATTCACACCCCCAAAATATTCACTGTCATTATATTGGACAGGTTTTTAAATCTGTCTTTATGTTTCACTGTTGGATGCTTAGGTTCTGTGTGGCTTATTTTTGTATTTTGATTTGTTTGTTTAGGCTTTATAAACTTTTAAAATTGGCTGATGTTTTCAGACCCAAGCTTGAACCCTAAGGCCCAGGTGGCTCCTATCAGTTGCAACAGTGGCTTGGTAAAGCACTCCAGTTAAAATTTGCCTAATGCTGTGAAAATTAATTTGCTTGTGTTTAGAAAACAACATCAGCAGCTGGAAAATGTATTGGAGAGAAAGATCCACCCATCCTTAAAATGAACAGGAAGCAGCTTCAGCTCTGGCTCTTTGTTGGTGCCAAGTTAAAGGGAAACTCTGTATTTTGCAACTTCTGCCTTGTCAAACAGCAAGTGGTATGATTGTAATTCTCAAAGGGTACAAAATCTCCTCTTGTTTGTATTGGAGGTCTCAGAGGTTGGATTGTAACAGCTTGTTTGATCTGTTTTCTTATTCCACAGCTCCCCTGTCATTTCTAGCCTGTGTAGTCAGTGTTAAGAGATCATTCTCTTGTGTTGGCAAGTAGATAGTGATCAACCCAAATGGCTGACAGAAGAAAGTGTCAGAGGGGGAAAGTGTTTTCTCTTGAAATGATTGTGTTCATGTTCACTCTTGGATTGTGCATATTTTCTGTCATTCAAGACCAGATAAATTGTGAGAAGATGAAATAATTATGTTCATACCCCATTAGTTTCACTATCGCTTGCTCCAGGCATGAATTTATAGAACAGAACGTGCATTTTTCTGTTTCTGTTCCACTTACACATATTACAGAGATTGAATACTTAATTTGTCCAAAATGCAGTTCTCTGATGTAGCTGTTCCCTTTCTTACATCATTGGCTTACCTTTCATTTCCTGGACAGTCATGACCCTGTTCACTTTCTCTGCATTTTTCAGCTGTTCTTCAAGAATCTCTATAGCATTTGTCTGCTGCCTGTGCCGCCATCACATATCATCAGTGACCAAGAGATTTGTAAAATCTTGTGAAGTTACTTTCAGATCATGTCCCTTCTGTTTGTAATCATTGAATTCCACCCTCAGATCTCCAAGATAGATGTTTCTACTGGTGCATCAAGTTGTCAGCTCATGATTAGTGACAATTTAGTTGCAGAAGTTGTTATTTCAAACATTGGCACATCTTCAGCAGCTATGGGCTTCAAGGCCTTGGGTCTGTCTTCTCATAGTCTACTCTGCTACTTGTGGTATTGGCTATAGCCTCCAGCTCTGTTCCAGAACTGTTGGAGGGGAATCAGATTTTAGCTTCAGTAAATAATGGATTCCATTCCTTTCTTCCTCCCAGGGGATGTGGGAGGAAGTTATCCTTATTCCACTGGGTTTCATGTGCAGGATCAAGTGACTATAGGATATATATACATTCTTGTGGAACTCTCATCTTTTTGTTCTCTAGTTTCTTCATTCATGTTGTCACAGCTACCACTGAAAACTACAGAGAGGTTTGGAGGGTAGAGATTGAAATGCACAGTTAGCCCAGGAAAGGTGATTGTCTTCGAGGATCATTGGCAGTAACAGCGTTCTTACATCTTTGGCAAATTACCAATTAGTGCTGGCATATTATGAACACAGGTTAATTGTTTTGTCAGCTTTGCCAGTCTCCCACCCACTCATTTTGAGATAATGATTTATACTCAGTTATAGGTAGCATGTTTTCTGAACTTCTTTGCATTGCATGTTAGATGTAGCCAACACCACATCTGTAATTGTGATGACTTAGTAGCAGTATATCAGACATCTTGTCTCTAAGATTTTTGAAATATTAAGAGAAACGCACATTACAGTCTAAGACCCTCATTTTGAAGGGATGAATTTTGTCAGCTTCAGGAGCAGTGAAGTCTTGCATCCTTTGTCCCCGGAAAATTTTTCTTCTGCTTCCAAAAAATAAAAAACCCAGGGATATCAAGACTGGTCTTTTACCTCAAGCCAAACACCTAGACCTTGAACTCTTCCTGTTCAGCCTCAGGATATGTTAGGGCAGCCAGAGCATCAAAGGAGATAGCAGTATTCCTTTGCCTTGGGCATCTGCTGATCCCAGCTCTGAGCGCAAATGCTCTTACCTTCGGAGCATGTGCAATAGAGAATCAGAAACAAATCCTGCGATTTCAGCATCTCACTTTTTCCATCTCCCTGTAGTCCTCAGCCTGGAGTCCATGTATGTCTTTGTGTATAGTGGATACTGTGTACTGAAGGATAACATATTTATTTTGTCTCTTTGCAGCTCTGCTACCTCCATGCCTGTCCCTTGTCAAAAACCTCTGAGTGTGCTTCAGTTAAGAAATTCAGTGGAGACATAGAACTGTTTCCCACATGTCTTGGAGAAAAGTCATTTTACAGGAAGTGTTTTCTAGTACAAGGGAGGAAAGGAGAATAGCAAACATTTTGGACTTACAATAGTTGCACAAGGGGAGTACAATTACATATGTGCTCAAGTGTCGTTTTGTTTGTCTCTGCTTTTATGACATTTACTTCCCTGTATTTGTCAATGAGTTTCAATGAAAGTGCCTTTGTTTACTATGAGAAAAGAAAATTACCAATAGAAAGGCCCCACAACCATTAAGAATCTACTTCAGTGGTGAGACTGAGTAATGTAACCAAGGGGTCCTGTTCTTCTCCCCTACTCTGAGATGTTTGCATCACTTCTAAGGTAAGGAGCCTGTTCCAGTGACAGAGAATCAGGCTTGCTAGCCTTGAAAGGAGTAAGGTGCACATCAGAGTCCTGGAGGCTGAGGTAACGCAGAGTTCATACAAGTGTTTTGTGCTGTGTTTAGGTGATGAGCATACCATGACATAAAAATTAAGGGAGGGATATTAGATTCTCTCCTCCCCAGAAGCAGCTGACTTGTACTCAGTAGATGAAGTATTAAGTTGACTTTTACGTGGTTCATCTTGGCCTTTAGAACAGCCTCACAAGTTGTGTAAGTGCCATCAGTGGGTAATCGTGTTGTGACGCTAGATAGACCACTTAGTCTTGAATGCCAGTGAGACATACTGAAATTCCCATTCTCAAGACTAGATATGTTTTTGGACAATCATAATTTCTTGGAAATACTCCTCATTATGATGCCTGGAAGGTCAACATTCATTTCTCTGTTACTGGTTCCACACTGTGACAGGAGGTTTTGGTGTCAAGACCTTTGTTTACTAGTAGGAATCTCAGTGCTGTGCCTCTTCCTCATACTGGAATATGGATAGTTTCCATGTGCATGGAGTTGAATGGGCTGGCAGTGCTGGACCATTCCTCTTCTTTACCTGTGAAAGGAGATCATTGACTTATAGATGAGCTTACAGAACAGACTGGATTTTCAGCTTGCATTCTTTTAGGCCTGTAACTTGTACTAATATACCAGTTCGTCATTTTGGATTATTTGCTGGAAACAAAAGCAGTCTGGTTCCTGACTTATTTTTGTTAAGGTTTACTTGATCAAAACTGCCAAGGACTTTTTTCCTCAGTCAGTCCTACATTTGCTGCTCATGATAATCCTGGGCTCACTGAATCTGGATGGGTTATGGTGTTTAAATAGTTGGATTTTTTTTGGTTGCAGTAAGTAACTGGCTGATTGATCCTCTTTGTACTATTTCCTTTCTGGACACATTATTCCTGTGGATCTGTCATGAGTTTCTTCCAAAAGAAGCATCTGAGCTTTTCTTAAACCTGGGACTTGACTTGCTTTTCTTCTTTCTAGAACCTCATGTTTCTAGAGCTAAGATCTTGTTGTTTACACCAGGAGGACCTTATTTGATCTTTACAGACTCAGGTCTACTCATACAGTCCTTGAGATGATTGGTTATACCAAGAGCACAAAACTCATAGTTCTCTTCATGCAGAAAGTGGTTAATTGGAAAAGAGATGGGCAAGGAGGAGTGTAAGGGAGAAGGTGAAAAGGGAGTAATTGTTCACAGTCTTGTCCACTAGAAGAAGTAGGAGCATCAAATGAAACCAACAGATATCAGATTCAAAGGAAAAAAAAAGGGAGTGGGGTGGTGGGGGGGGGGGGGATTGCAATTTTTTTTCACAGTATGTAATTGACCTATGGAATTCCTTGTCACAAGATATTGTGGATACAAAAAAGTGTATGTGCTTTAAAAAGACAAGTAGACAAATCCATTAAAAAGTCATCTATTAGGGCATATTAAATATTAAAACTAAAAAACAAGCAGGAAGTTTCTAAGACTGGGGAGGTATCACAATGGGCTCTTCCAATTTTTAGCTTTTCTATCAGGTATGTGCTGTTGACTGCTGTCAGAGATGAGAAGCAGGCTAGATGCTCTTGTAGTCTGACTTTGTATGGATGTTTTATTTTGACAGTTGGAGTACAGCCTACTAGAACAGCCAAGGCAAAGCTGCCTTCCATGACAGCAGCATGTTCCACCAGAATTCTCTGGTGTTGGGTTCTCTAGGAAAAGTCTCCGTTGTTGAGGTGTTGGGTTCTCTAGGAAAAGTCTCCGTTGTTGACATCTGCCACGTTGTCACATGCAGTGTGTCTATACCGTCACCTGGGTGGACACTATATATTGCAGAGGCTTTCAGAATGATGAAGCTCTTACAAGAGCATAAAGTACACCAAGATCCACTTCTAGACAGTTATGATTTTGGGGGAAAAGTAGGTTGCTGAATAGAGGTCATCCATAATATGATGTTTGTAAATGGTTAGTCCCTTAAATACGGAAAAGAAAATACTTACCACTAAATGAAGCTCTTATCTTATTCATACACTTCTCACCATCTTTGTCTTCCAAAGCGCTTGAGTGCACAGCACCTTCAGGGTGAATGTGCACAACCACAGCACATCTTAAAGAACTACAGTACCTGGTAACTGCTTTCTTCCCACTTTAGAACCCTACTGTCCTTTTCCAAAGAATGAAATTGAGTTTCCCTGCTGCCTTAGAGATGAGTAGTT